TTCCCACTAAGGGAACTAGGTAGCAGCACAGTACAGAATAACAGATTTCTATTGAATGAAGCATATGGAAGAATCACTGTGACATAAACAGTACAGAACAGTTCAGCCAAGCATAAATGCAGTTACTTGTGGTTCCCTTGGAGGAACATCTCTCTCACAAGGAGGCCTGTTACAATTGGTAGCCCAGGTTTTAGCCGCAGGTTTTTCTAAACAGGCTGCACAGAGAAAGGGCAGGAGTCATCAGGAGGCTGAAAAGGATATAGGAATGCATATACTGTACAAGAAGACAGCTGAAGAAGCAGGTCTACCCCACTGGACAGGCAGCACTCCAGATCCAGCTAGCACAGTGTCTACCATAGTGGCTGAGACTTTAGGTGAAGCTGTGTGCTCTTCTATTTACACACGGCAATCCTTAAAGTGGAACTGCACTGCATGTGAGCACCACAAACCAAAAATGTTATTTGATTCATTTTTAATATTCAAAGCAAACTCACCCATCCATCAATGTCTCCATGCTTTATTTTGCTGAGAAATCATTTTGAAAAACACCCCCTGGCATTTCTGGCAGTGGCTATCTTGAGTAAGGGCAGATGATTCATGTTGCATTTACTTCCTGGAATCCATCTGTCCTTAGCTCAGGCACAGGCTCAGATGAGAACCCTCCCCTCCTGAACACTGGTAGACTATATGACATAATTTGCTTAGGTATGGAAACCAGAAAGTAACTGAATAAATTGAAAAAAAAGTTCAAAACAAGTAAATATGATATACTTTTCTATCTATTTACTAATGCTAGCAGCATAAGGATTAAAAATAGTCCATATTGATTGAGAGCTTGAAGTTCCACTTTAAGCCTGGAACAATTATGGAGGACCCAACAACCTGATAACAGTTCACATGCTCAGACACTGCTGTCCTATGAGACACAGCCTCTCTGAGTAGATGATTGGGGGAAGAGCCATGGTTTATATTCCCCTGGGTGAGTCTGGGAGCCCAGGAGATGATGGGAGCCCAGAGGATTATGGGGAATGGAGTTTTTAACAGGTAAACGTTTTACTAAATGCAGTGCAGCATACAAAGTAGCATACAACAGATGAGCAATTCAATATGATGCAGACAAAGATACGGAGAGTGGAGTTAAATGACCATGTGCCTGTTGCTGAGTAAGGTGGACCGGGAGAGCACTAATGCATCAGTTGAAGAAAATTTCCAAAATGTAAAAAATATTTTTAGTTTTGACGTATTCCTGATTAATATATTACAGTAAGAAAATAATTCTATGACTTTTGACACCATGGGATTGATCTACTAAAACTGGAGAGTGCAAAATCTGGTGCAGGACTTTTGTCAAAGCTCAACTGAACAAGCTGAAGTTAGAAGCTGATTGGGCACCATGCACAGGTGCACTAGATTTTCCAGTTTTAGCAAATTAACCCCCACATGAATTAATGAGTATCTAATACAATCATGAGCTCACTTTTCTTACTTTCTGATTTTACATAACTAATAAATCAAGATACAAATATTTCTATATTGTCCTTAAGCAATTATAACTGTACATACCTTCAACTGTAAGACAAGCACTTAGGCTGGCCATACATTATACAATTATCTTCCAATTTTCTGTCCAATTTCCTTTAGATTTACCTTCAACTGTGTAGTGCAAGGGCCTGCCTAATTGGATACAACTGAAAGTGTTGTTTAGGTTTGTCCTCCTATTATATGGTTTTTGGTAAATCTAAACCAAAAATCTCCAGATAATTGTATAATGTATGGCCAGCCTTAGTCTTATCGCACATTCCCTTTTTTGTTTTGTTATCACTACATCATGCAGTTCAACTGCTGCTTGGCAAAGTGTTACTAAACCTACAACAGTCTGTATATGCAGTAAAGCATGCTTGATACACTCACTGTGGAACCTAAAGGGTTAGTCCTCTGCATTGTGTAAAAATGCTGTTTAACCCTGACTTTTCTAATCCTCCCCTTCTTCCAGTGTCCAATTCTAACGGAATTTTTAATGTTTTGTACAATAAATATTAAACGTTATATATAACTGAGACAGATTTTTGTGCCTTTAAAATCCCACCAAAATAAGAGGGTTTTTTTTCTACTTTTGCTTAAAGTGGAGTTCCACCCATTTTTCATACTTTACCTGATTAAGTTGTCCCTGTGAAAAAAAAGAAAAAGTTGGATTTTTTTTTTTTTTAATATACATACCTTTAAATTCACTGCAAGCTTGCAGTTCTGTTCCCGGCCGCCTAGGCGATGATGTCGTAAGTCGATTTGCAAGGTCTCCTGGGATGTCGTTTCCTGTATCCCAGGAGTCCTTTGGTTTCCTGTAATCGAGGGACTTGGAAACCGTAAATAACGCGAATGGGAGGAGTAAATGTAATATGCCTTCCTATCTATTCATTAATGCTAGCAGCACCAGGATTAAAAATAGTCAATGTTGAGAGAGTGAAGATCCACCTTAATACCTGTCAGTATTCTTAAAGTGACAGAGTCTCTTTAAATTTGCCCTATCAGTATAGGGTCTCTATCCTACTGAGTTTTAAAATTCTGCATAATATTGTGCCATCTGGAAAATTTGCAACTATACTTTTTTCTGTTCTATCTGCTAGGTCATCCTGATACATTCTCCTCTAGGCTTTGCATCCACAGTGTCTCTACCCTGAAAACTTTTGGATTGTGGAAGATCCATTTTATCATAGATCCACAAGAGGCCTGCAACTGGCTGAATCCAATGGGGCAGGCATAGCACCTCCCTACCTGCTTCCCTTGCTGTTGTGACTCTCTGATTCTAAAACACTTAATAGCACATCTAGGAGACCAAGTAATTAACCTGAATGTGTTTGCAGTGCTGCATTTCAACCTGACCTGTAAAGTGGCCTAGCCTCACTGTCTTGGTTGTGCCACTGAATGATAAATACATAAATACAGTGCGCAGCATAAATGAGTACACCCCTTTTGAAAAGTAAGATTTTAATCAATATCTCAATGAACACAAGAACAAAACTGAGTTTTATAGAACATTTGTTTAGCTCATTACATGAAAGTAAGGTTAGTAATATAACTTAGATTACAATATCTTCAGTTTTACTCAAATTAGTTGATGCAACAATGAATATACCCCACAGCAAAAACTACTCCATCTAGTCTTTTGAATGACCTCCATGATTTGTAATGACAGCACTAAGTCTTCTAGGCAAAGAATGAACACGTTGTCGACATATTGCAACATCTATTTTTTCAACTCTTCAAGAATGCTCTCTTTTAGGGCCTGGATGGAGATTGATGCTCAACTTGTCTCTTCAGAATTCCCCATAGGTGTTCGATTGGGTTAAAATCAGGAGACATACAGTGGGGATTGAAAGTTTGGGCACCCCAGCTAAAAAGTTGTATTAATGTGCATAAAGAAGCCAAGGAAAGATGGAAAAATCTCCAAAAGGCATCAAATTACAGATTAGACATTCTTATAATATGTCAACAAAAGTTAGATTTTATTTCCATCATTTACACTTCCAAAATAACAGAAAACAAAAAAAATGGCGTCTGCAAAAGTTTGGGCACCCTGCAGAGTTAGTATCTTGTACTGCTCCCTTTGGCAAGTATCACAGCTTGTAAACGCTTTTTGTAGCCAGCCAAGAGTCTTTCAATTCTTGTTTGAGGTATCTTTGCCCATTCTTCCTTACAAAAGTCTTCCAGTTCTTTGAGATTTCTGGGCTGTCTGTCACGCACTGCTCTTTTAAGGTCTATCCATAGATTTTCAATTATGTTGAGGTCAAAGATTGTGAAGGCCATGGCAAAACCTTCAGTTTACGCCTTTTGATGTAATCCCCCGTGGATTTCGAGGTGTGTTTAGGATCATTATCCATTTGTAGAAGCCATCCTCTCTTTAACTTCAGCTTTTTCACAGATGGCATCAAGTTACCATCCAAAGTTTGCTGAAATTTTATTGAATCCATTTTTCCTTCTACTCGTAAGATGTTCCCTGTGCCACTGGCTGCAACACAACCCCAAAGCATGATTGATCCAACCCCATGCTTAACAGTTGGACAGAGGTTCTTTTCATTAAATTCTGTGCCCCTTCTTCTCCAAACGTACCTTTGCTCATTCCGGCCAAAAAGTTCAATTTTAACCTCATCAGTCCACAGAATTTTGTTTCCAAAATGCATCAGGCTTGTCTATATGTTCATTTGCAAAGTTCAAACGATGATTTTTGTGGTGAGGACGTAGAAGAGGTTTTCTTCTGATGACTCTTCCATGAAGACCATATTTGTACAAGTATCTCTTCATAGTGGAATAGTGTACCACAACTCCAGTGTCTGCCAGATCTTTCTGGAGGGATCATGCAGTCAAACGTGGGTTTTGAATTGTTTTTCTCACAATCCTGTGAGCTGTTCTGTCTGATATTTTTCTTGGTCTTCCAGATCTTGCTTTAACTTCCACTGTTCCTAATGACTGCCATTTCTTAATTACATCCTGAACAGAGGATATTGACATCTGAAAACGCTTTGCTATCTTCTTATAGTCTTCTCCAGCTTTGTGAGCATCAACTATTTTCAGTTTCAGTTTTCTAGACAACTGCTTAGAAGAACCCATGGTGCTGATTGTTGGGGCAAGGTCAGATGAGTCTGGGCATTTAAAACCTTTGAGCTTGACATAACCTGGTCTTCCCAGACGATGATTGAGAACAATCCATGACACTGGCAGGTCTCAGCTTGGCAAAGGGGGCAGTGCATGCTATAAATTTCCAAACTTTTGCAGACGACCATTTTTTGTGTTTTCTGTTATTTTGAAAGTGTAAATGATGGAAATAAAATCTAACTTTTGTTGACATATTGTAAGAATGTCTAATCTGTTATTTGATGCCTTTTGGAGATTTTTCCATCTTTCCTTGGCTTCTTTATGCACATTAATACAAATTTTTAGCTGGGGTGCCCAAACTTTTTCGATCCCCACTGTACTTGACCACTGAATCACTTTCACCCTGTTCTTCTTCAGAAATGCAACAGTGGCCTTAGATGTGTTTTTTTGGATCAATGTCATGTTGGAAAAGTGCATGACAGCCAAGGGCACGGAGTGATGGTAGCATCTTCTCTTTCAATATAGAGCAGTACATCTGTGAATTCAAGATCCTATTGTCAGGGCTGGGCTCTTGCTGCTTAAGGAGCAGCTCTTTTCTTTCAGTGCTCAGAAGCTTCTCAGCTGTCGGTTAATTACCAGCCACTCATCGTCTTCACAGTGACTCACCTGGATACCATTAGTCCAGCCTACAGCCAGCCCTCTTTGCTATTTTAGCAGCTTAGCTCATTTCCTTGCCCTTGCGTGGTCTTTGGTCTCCAATGTGTTCCTGCCTGCGTTCCTGTGTACATCTTGGTCAGGCTGACTTCTCTTCTGATTCCTGTTCCTGATTTTTGGCTCATGACTATGCTGACTTCTGGTTTCCTGACTCTGACTCATCTGATAACCTGCTCTGGCATCCAAACCCAGGCTTCTGTTTTGACTACATTCCTGACCTATGTTATATTTGCTATTTCATTAAAGGTGTGATTTTAACTGCACTATCTGTCTCTGCCTGATTCATGGTTCCTGACAACCATCAATGAAGTGCAGCTCCCTGGCACCAGAAGCACTAGCCCCACAGGAGGACACTGCCACCACCATGTTTCACTGTAGGCACCATGCATTTTTATTTGTATTCCTCACTTTTGCAATGTCATATAGTTTTGAAGCGATCAGTTCCAAAAATATTTATCTTGTTCTCATCACTCCAGAGTACAGAGTCCTAGTAGTCTTCTTCTTTTTCAGAATGGGCCCTGCAAATTCTAGGCAGGCTTTTTGTGCTTGTAGAAGAGGCTTTCTTTGTGGATGACACCCCTGCATGCCATTCCTCTGCAGTGTGCGCCGTATTGTGTCACGGGAAACAATCACCCCAGTTTCGCTTTCTAATTCTTTAGCTAACTGTAGTGAACTTGCATGGTGATTTTCTTCAACCCTTCTCATCAGAAGATGCTCCTGTTGAAGTTTTAACTTCCGTGGACGACCTGGACATCTCTGTAAGATGGTTGCTGTTCCATCTTTGTTACATTTTTGTATCTCTTTTGCTACAGTATTCTGACTGATAAGTAAAGCTTTGCTGATCTTCTTGTAGCCTTCACCTTTCTTGTATAAAGAAATTATTTTCTTTGTCAGGCCTTGTGACATTTCTCTTCCATGTGGTGCCATTGCTGACCAGCATGACATGGGAAGGGGTTTTCTTTATTAAGTAACGCCCTTTTACAATTCAACTGTCTGCTGAACACCTGTTTAATGAATAATTAGATTCACCTGTAGTTGAATTCTTGTTAATTAAGATTTTGTTTTCTAAAACTTAGCTCTGCTCGTAAGAGTTTCATTGGGGTGTAATAATTTTTTCAACATGATCTTGAATTAATTTGTTAAGAAAAATACTTTTGTGTGTGAAAATTAACAAATCTTGTTTGCAACCAATGGCCCGCATTTGTGGGAATATTTTGTAGTACAGTGTCCCATAGAAAATGTTGAAAGGTTTTGTGAAAAATCTGTTGGGGTATACTCATTTATGCTGAGCACTGTACATAACTGGATCTGCTGGTGTTATGCCTAGCCCAAAAGCATATTGAATCGTTTAATTTGACCTTTATATCTATATTCCTAATTTATCTCTTGCAGAGTGTAATGTATTATCAGTTTCCCTTTTCATATAGTTTATATTCTTTTAAATGAATTTAAAAAGCATTAGCAATCTTTTTCAGCTTCAATCTTTGCTAAGTTATTTTTAATTTTTATTAAGTCTATATTACAATATAACATTTTCAGTACTCTCAACATCAATATTTAAATGTTTGTTTTTATTCCTCATTATATATTGATTCTGTTTGAAGTTAACTACACAGTTTGTCTCTACACCTTTTCATCACAAGGAACTGAAAATATGGGGTAAAGCCACTGCATTGGGAGTAAATGGAGTATACCAACCCATCATGAACTGCGACAGTATAAACCTTTCAGAGGAACAGTAAAGTTAGAGGAACAAAAGTATTAGTATTGTATTTTGGGATAGAGCAAATGGCAATGATATATACAAAAGAGCAGACATATATGCAAACGAAAGCAAGTAATGTTTTTTACAAAAGATACAATAATTGTGCAATGCTAAAAGCAAACCCATATTTTGACACATACACATTGTACATGAGAGTGCAAAGTGTGATGCTGGGTACACATGGGCTGTATATAGGCTGGAATCAGACAGTAGAATCCATCCAAATTTTGGTCCGTGTACAGAGGCCGATCTCACGGTCAACTGAGCATGCTTGAAAACCAGCAGCTGACTAGCATCCGATCAGCGCTGGCAGGCAATGGCTGCGAGAGCTGACCAGTGTGTTCTGGCAGGGTCTGGTCCCTCTGTCAGAACACAATTGTGCAGCAGGAAAGATCACTGCACTAACATTGTTTACATCAATAAAGCTATCTGTCAGGTTTTTTTTGTTCAGTCCACTGGGTTGTACCAGGGGTTGGAACCAGTTGATCAGCTTGTGACAGAAATTCAATCAAAGACTTGGCTTCCACTGATGTGAAACAAACTGATTACCTAAGCATTGAAAATTTATATAGTCAATATAAATGAAAACTCATTGGCTGAAGCATGAAGCTGATTTTCCCCTCTAATAGGTAGGCCTCAATTGAGAGGCAGATGTTCTGCACATGGACATAGTAGGGGTCAAGCAGGGTTAGCTGGACAAAGCAGTGTTCAGGCCACAACATCTAAAGGCAGAGAGTGTCTGCCTTTACAGTTTCAGAGTGTCCATGGTAAACAGCCACTGTTCCACAGGAGGTAGTTGCGTGGTTGAAAAAGCCTTCCTCTTCCTTCCAGATACAAAGCAGCCAGTCTGAAACTGCTGCTAATGAGCCCTTTTCCTCCTCCTTTGTTAATCCTAGCATAGTCCTGCAAACTAACTATGGGGAGTCGAGGATAAGGAACATAGCACCATGACCATAGAGGGAGGGTACAACAGGTAGGGAGTTGCATGAGGCAGTGATGTTCCAGCAGCTGGAGCTTACTGCAAAGGTAGGTTCCAATGATAAGGGAGGGGGTGGATGATGAGGTAGATCAATGGGTACCACCAAATGGATAGAAGGAAAATTCTGAGGGAGAGGCAGAACAGAAGAAAGGTTGGATTAGAAAACTACAATCCTTGTGTTAAAGTATACATGTATTTGAAAAAAGTCATATAAGAAAGCTACCTTCAATGGCAAAACCAACAGAAGCTTCTGTGTATATAACTACTTTCTGTACATTGGTACATACATAGGCTTAGGAACCCCTGCTCACCTCAGTTGACAATGCTCAGGCTTGTAGGTATATTGCTGCGCTGCCATGTCGGGAAGGAGCACCTACCCTAGGAATTTTAGGAAGTGCTGATGTAACTGACCTCCTTAGCACTTAACAGCGGGGTCATTTTGAAACAGGCAAAAACTCAATGAGGCATTGGGATGCTTTTTTCTCTGTGCTCCTTGCACAATATAGCAGTCAGGGTGGGTATAGACACAATTTTTCCAAGGGTGTTAGGTACTTGGCAGAAAAGTAGCTGTATAGCAGTGCCAAGGAAAATGGTGATTACTGATTGTATTTTAAACAGGATCTTTGTCTAAAATAATATGGTGTGTAATAAATGCTAAATGTAACATTATGAATAATGTGTGATGCATCTACAAAAGTGTTAAAATGATGGTAACAATTTGATTTTGATCTTTATGTTGTCTTCTAGGGTAAGATAAAAGAGCAGATGAAAGAAAAGGGCAGAGAATCAAAGGACAAGTGGATGAATGACAATGGGCATGAGCTGGTGCCAGGCTGCTTCTCAAGTCACGCCAAATGCACTTTATGCACCAAGGCACTTGTAAATTGGCGTGGACTGCAATGCATGCGTGAGTAGGCACTGCTTCTTTGGTTGGAGGGGATGCCACTTTCACATTGCCTTATTTTCTTTAGTCTCTGTTCTTAATGCTTCATAGCATGAAAGCAAGATTATTACTAAACTCGCTACCTCACCACAGGAGAAGATTTAGGAAAAACTGTTTAATCAGCATGAGCCATCACTTGAGTGATAAAACACTATTTATAAAGCTGAGATGTTTTGTGAAGCTGTCGATGAAACATGTCAAAAGATTTTCTGCTTCACAGTAAACACGTGTACTGGTAATCTGTGTAGAAAGAAGGGATATTAGTCAACCTTATAGAAAAGTTCAAGATTTATGACTGTCCTGTTAGCTTAACTTGTCTGCAATACAATTAAAAAAAAGTAACTTGTTTTTGTTCAGCTGATAGCATAAGATAGGCTAGAGATGAGTCAAAAACTGAACGTTCTGTTGATCAAAAAACAATATGGTGCATAAGATTGTGCTATCATTTGTTTCATTTTTCTAAATGAAGTCCAGCATGTTGGATCAGGCACTTTTGACTGCAACACGAAAATCGTGTGTCATCCCTGGGAACGAGAGTCAGGCTCTACATACACCATCAAGCAGCCTTTCTCAGATCCCACCTGGTTCCAATGGCGCGCATGTCCCTTCTTCCATCTCTTCTTCTGGAGGGAGGTGCCGCCCTAGGCAAGTGCCTTGTTTGTCTTGTGGTAAATACACCCCTGTTCAGGAGTGAAAGGGGGCACATCTTCATCCCCCCTTTCCTGGTCAGCCAGGCTTCATGCTTAGATGAAGGGTCTGAAATGTCATTTGCCGGCAATTTTACATTTTTTTTCTTTTGTAAATGTCAGTACTGCTGCAGCATTTACTGTACATTTTTAAAGTTTAATAAATCACTACTCTTGGCCAAATGGAATTAAAAAAAAAAAAAATGTTTTGCATTGGTACATGTTCCCCAGGGCGTAGCCCACCACCCAAGCACATTTTTGAGATTCCCTTGTCTATTAGACCAGAAAATGGGCATTTTGGATTTGACAGATTTGACTCCCTTTGATTTCAATAGATTTCCGCATCTGAACTTCCTTGAAGCTTTCTGAACCCTGCTCATCACTAGTGCTAGTTAGTATTTGGTTTAATAGAGTCCTTTAAACAAAATGCTGCATGTAACACTGTGTTATATTTAGGCTTGGCCATGGAATGGCATGAGTTTTGGCAGAATCCTGCTGAAATTTAAGTTGCAGCTGACTCAGCAAGCCACCTGGCTTGACAAAAGTCAATATAAAAATCAACTTAGTGAGTAGAAAATTATTGGCAGAACTGTATCCTATCAGAATCAGTCACTGTCTGGCATTGCCATTGTATTCAGACAGTCTTGCATGCTGCAACTGCCTAAATATACACTATATTGTCAAACGTATTGGGCCACCACTCCAAATCATTGGATTCAGGTGTTCCAATCACCTCCATGGTCACAGGTGTATAAAATCAATCACCTAGGCATGCAGACTACTTCTACAAACATTTGGGAAAGACTGGGTCACTCTCAGAAGCTCAGTGAATTCAAGCGTGGTACCGTGATAGGTTGTTGTGCAATAAGTCCATTCATAAAATTTCCTTGCTACAAAATATTCCACGATTAACAGTTAGCGGTATTATAACAAAGTGGAAGCAACTGGGAACAACAGCAACTCAGCCACGAAGTAGTAGGCCACGTAAAATGACAGAGCAGAATCAGCGCATTCTGAAGTGCACAGTACGCAGAAGTTGCCGACTGTTTACAGAGTCAATAGCTAAAGACCTCCAAACTTGGTGTGG